GTGGCTAACAGATAAGATAAGATGACCGTTCAGAGATCTCTGTTACTGATTGGCTGGAACACTGTTGTGGTGTTCGGTCGCTCAGCTTTCTTTGTTTCCTAAACCCTGAGCCAGGGCTGAGTATTTTTTCCAGCACACACAAACATACAGCTAGTGGACTGTGAGGAGATATAAGCAGAATTAGACAACAGGTTCACTGAATATAACTTACCTTTAACCCTTTTATCTTGTATAATATCTAACTCATGCATCAATAACTTTAGTTAAAAAATCTAAATATTCCAAAGCATCTATTTTTCCCTTCTTATATACAGAAATAAAAAAAACACCCAGCAACAGCATGTTTAATGCAAATTAACTGGCCAACAGTTCTTAATTTTCTTTTTTAAAACGCGTGCTGACACATTACCTTCCTCTGAGGTTATTATGGATTATCAGAGGGGGCTTTTCAGGCCATAAAACTGAAACCAGTGAGCGGCAAGAGGCTAAAATGCTCCACAGATCTCAGAGCACCTCACAGTATATTGATTGTTAAACTGCAGTAGAGGTGGAGTGTTTTTATTTCAGTATCAGTAAGTCATTTTGATATTAAAACAATATAATGGCAGCCTCAGCATTTGTTGTGTGTCATCAGCTGTAATGGGAATATCATATAAGTCTGTGACATAAACTCGAGCAAACTAATATCTGTTTAGTTACAGTAAGAACACAGGTATTATTCGTACATATTATCCTTTGGGAAAGCATTCAGTGGCTAACACACTTTTGAAAGTGATCACTACTGTAGATTTACAGCAACAGTAATGCATTTAGATTCTTTTTTATTATAGTACCTTCAAGTGCCTGCTTTAATTAGAAAAATAGACTTTCTCTTGTGTGTCAGGAACCTCTCAGCACGCTCACTGTAATATTTTGTCCTGGGCACAGTGGGATCTGCAGCTGAAATGCCATTTTTTAAGTGGAGCTATTTCCTTCTGCTGATTTACGCTTGGCGGTGGAATGAAATGTGCGAGCAGTAAATCCCCTTTTCTTTCCCTCAGGGTCAGGAAATCTCCAGTCTTTCAAAAAAAATATAGAATGCGATAACATTTACAGAAGAGGCCCACTAGAGAATCATTTAACAAGATGAATCAAACATCAGCAGCACCAAAATTTGTCATGCACACTGACACAGCAGCTGCACATGATGTGTTGTGAGTGCACCGGTGAGTGTGCAGCCATTAGATGTTTGCCATCCCTTGGAAACAGGGTGGTTGTGTGTGTTCAGTGTGAGCAGCCAGTCATACAGTATTTACTGTGGGAGCGAACAGAGCTCCAGCATTGCAGAGGAGTGAGGAGCTCCCCGTAGCTGTTGCAGTGATTCTCCCCCCTTCTGCTCTGCCGACAAACACAGCATCGGCTCATTACACCAGCTAAAGAATAAGACACAGACACATCGGTGGAGGAAGGGAGGAAAAAAATGAAAAATATCATCCAGTGCTGGAGAACAATGATCTCTGGGGAAAAAAAGCCTGGGTCACTCCCACTGGTGTGTTTTTTCCTGCCTATCAGTGTGCGCTGCTGCCTGTGGGGTGGAAACACAGCAGGGGAAGATGCTTACACTGTCGCTGGCTATTGTGTGGACAAGGGATGGAGGGTGGGAGGTGATGGGGGGGCTCCCTCCGCGTGGATGATGTGAATTCAAAAGACATTTCCACCTGCGGATGGAGGATCTGTACGTCTGTGCTCTCCTGAACACGGATTCTCTGAGACGAGCTGCTGAGCTGCAACTTGTTACATAATGGACCAAAGTGCCTTCTTTCCCTTTTTCCTTTTTTATTGCATTTGATTGAGGAGCGATCACCTGCATGTGAGCAGACCTAACAGTATATAACAAGTTGAGTCTTTTACATCCGAGTCAGCTGCTCCACGCTGCATGGTGTCTTTTGTAGAGAATCTCCTGATCTAGGCGTGTAGTAATGGCTCGGAACCCCCGGTGCGTCCTGGGGAATACCCTGCTGCTGAATATGAGCCAAGACAAAAGAGATTTGTCGAGGATATACCAACAGTGGCTATGAAAACTAAATCCACACTAAAGAGAAAAATCAGGCAAGTACGATTTCAACTTATCTTTGTCAATTATAGGTCTTTCATTGCTGATTTCCATTGTATGTGGATGGTACAAGACTAAAATATTCAATTTCTTATAAGCATTACTACTCGACAACTGTGCGTCCTCAGTGTCAGGGGCAGTGAAGATGAAGCTGCCTGTGCATCCAACATACCTGACATGAGCTGAGAGCGCAGTGTTATTGTTGAACACCAGCATCAGAGCTCTGATTAGCAACCAGCAGACTTCAGGCTCTGCCACGCTGCTTTGACCTAACTTCAAACACTCGCACAACACTGTCAGCGTCGCAGTAAAATACTGACACACAGATGTTTGGGACTGATGTTGCTCACGCGAGGTTATTGTGGATGTACAAGCAATGCATTTAGCAAAATTATTATTTTTATTATGTAACCCTGATATTATAACGGAACTGAACAGATAAAGAGGAGGACAAAAAGCAACCAAAACACTGAGGTAGTGTCCGGTAAAGTCTGTCTCACTTAGGAAGCTGGTTGGGTAAGCATGTGCAGACTGACCGATTTCTAAAGATCCTTTCACCATACAGTGAAATGTGTTCAGTGATGCTCCATGCAATCACCAATGCAATCTGGAAGATCGTCAGCAATTGTCAGATGATGAATTAGCCTCTGGGGGCAGTGGCCACTTTTTGGGTGCGTCCAGTGTAGGCTGAAGTTTCTTCTGTTCGTCGTACACTGTTTACAGTCTGACTCGTTTCTTTTATCACACAAATTGAACGTTTCTCCACAAAAACACAAACAGTGATTCTTTTTGTCACATTACATTTTGGTTAACAGCTGTCTGCATAAATGAATTCAGATAAAAAATGAGACGCTGATGCATTTTGGTCAATGTGTTCCACCTGCCTTGCTCTCCCCATGGACCTGTGGGCAACCATAGCCTGTTCAAACATGATTGGTCAGATACCTGAAGGCTTCATCCCCAAAATCTTGTCTCTTACACATGCAGAATCTGTTTATAGATTTTACTGACAATGTTATGCTGCCATCACACCCCTGGCAAGCCAAAATAATTAAAGTGTGTGATATCTTGTTTGTCTCGTGCAAGTTCTTCAAGAACTAGTTTACACATCAACATGTTTCGTGTTATTGTTTTTTTTCCCTACAGTAATTTTGTTAAAACTCTAGTTTATAAATACAGTATTTACCTCAACATGTCCATCAGACTTGAAACATCAATCATGTTACAATCAAGCTCTTCTTAAACCAGTTATTCAGCCTTCCAAGTTTGAAAGAAGCTGATAGATTCTGTGCACTATTCTTCAGCTTTGGTTGTATCTTAATGTCAGAGGAAGAAGAAGGAGAAGGAGGAGGAGGTTTTCTGATGAAAAAATCATGGCAAATCAAATTTCTCACAATTTAAAGATGACTTGTGTGGTTTCCTGAAAAAAATATTTTTCATTTTACATTGACTGTTTCCTATCAAAACATTTTGATGTTGTGCTGGATGCATTTTTCATTTAGGCAAGGAGAGAAGCCAGTAACCTTTACGTTGTAATGATCAGCCTTGCGATGGTGCTGCAGCAACATATTTCTACAACTTCAACAAACAATATTGAAATATCAGATAGTGTGAAGACAGGTGGCTGCAATGACAAACAGAGCTCTTACCACATCCGTTGCTCTAACTACTGGGATTTCCTGGATAACCAACCGGTGACGTAGCTATCAACAAGAACAGCAATTTCACCAACAGACGTTTTTTTACTTTTCTGATTTGAGACATTTTTACTGTAATTTACATCAACTCTGGTTCTGTATTGAAATATGGACTAAGTCTGCTGTTGCTTATGAAAGCTTTGGGAAAAGAGTTGTAAAAACTATTTGGATTATTCTCACAATGTTTCTAACAGACTTATTGTGGCATTAAAGACATGCTCGTTAATAAAACTTCTACAACTGTAAGTGCTCTGTGAGATATGTGCTCTTCTGAAAAGATTGCATAGCAAACATCGAATAGATTTTTATTATTTAAAAAACAGACATATTGTTATAATAATGTAAATATTGTATGAATGTGATATGAATGTAGATGTGTGTGGATTTTATAGCTGTGAGCAACATCATGTTTTACATTGAGAATCCAATAAACAGAGTTTCTCTAATGTTTGGTGAATTTTGTCTTTATACTGAATATCTCCAGTCCAAAATTATTCTATTGTGTTCCTTTACTGCAAGACTCTGCTTTTTTCTTTTCTATAAAGTAATTCCACCTACATTGTAGCAAACACCTTTTGAAAGCTGCTGGGATGCCAGTGACTCAGTAGTGCTTTCTATTTTGAGTTCAACCCATGCCTGAATGTACAGGATTTTCTCAGTCTGAGATAAACAGTCATATCTCTGAGGGTTCAGCTGCAACAAATTTGAAGGTTTACAAAAATATCAAAAGATGAATTCCTAAAATATACTAAAGCAGATTTATTTAGCCTATTTTGTATTGCTGTCCTTAAAGTTAACTTGCAGATGTGGATAATTCATGAATGAGAAAGACTCAGTTCAGCTGCAGCATATTTAATACATTCAGCTTAGCCATGCTAATGAGACCCTGAGGGTGACAACTTTTCAACTGAAATGACCGTTGTAATAAGGTAGAGACAGTTAAAGGTGCAATTCAATGAAAATCTTTAATTTATTTAATGAGGGCGAATCTAAAAGGTGATATGCAGTTTAAAAAAAATACTTAATATGGTATTTGGTTTTAGGTTCTGGGATTTTGTTCTAAAAATATTTGCCACAAACACCAGAGGCTGCTGTCTCTATAATATACAGTATATGAACACTTGGTGGCAAATGACTCTGTAGTTACATATGAATCTGTTACATATGATTACTGTATTTATTACATATGTTATTTTCTTTCTTTTTTTCAGATTCTGAAACAACAGAGGATGAAGGTGAAGACCAATATGAGACCAAAGAAGACAGTGGGGAGGTTGAGGACCAGGCTGTGCATACAGGTATATACCATGTTTCCAGCTTAAAGTTTTTCCTGTCATCAATTTTGCAATTATTATCTATCTGTCTATGTTTTTGTGTTTTACTCATTTCACTGCAATAACATTTACAGGCAATATATCAAACTGAAGTTTGTCAAAGGAAGATTTTGCTCTTATACACTTAAAGCTGCATTAATACAGTTTTGGGTCACTTTGGGGATGAATTGATTACATAATATTAATCCTTTATAGAATTTTTGAGGTAAAAGTATTAGCAAATATTTGCCAACGTTATAATCTAGAAGACATGGAGATATTTAACCATTTATTTGTGGTGGTACTTCTGTCTATTTAGTGAATCTACCAACATTTGCTCATGTTAAACACTTTATTCTGGAAATATCCAGCTCTTCAGCTGTTAGCTGCTCCATTGTGTTCACCATATAGTTGCTATTTTTGTTTTGTCTCTCTTTAGTTCTGAGTATGTCGTGTGCAGTCAGCTAAAATAGCTTTGAGGGAAATAGCTTCCTGCTTTGGCTGCACACAAGCTTAATGAAAGCAGGATATAAAGGGATGGACCAGAAAGCAAAACAAATAGGTTGAAAGAATCAAAAATGCTAAAGATGCTGAATTGCTCTGTGGAGCTGGTGGGAACTTCAGCATTGGAGATTCATTATCTGTGGGTTTGTCATTAGGAGTGAAAATTAGGTTTGACCCATTGTTTGTATTAAAATGTTGATTTGTGGAGCTTTAACGTTGTCCTGTTTCACACTCTGCCAATGCCTGATGCTTACTTGTACTATTTTGTCATATCTCCTCTTCATATGAGATGCAGTGATGAACAAATGTTCAGAAGACGATAGTAGAACACATGGACATGAAGATCACTTAAACAGGCAAGAAAGAATCATGCAAATAACCAGACAGACCTTATTGTGCTCCATACTAAAATATGTTAACCAGAATAATTTGTAACAACAACTAATTCCAACAAATCTTGCAAATCCTTCATTTCAGGGGCCAGTCAGAGGATTTTTCAAGAGAATCTCCACCACAAGTCCTCCCACCCCCATCCCCAAGACTCGTCAAACGCCTCTCCACCTCTCCAATGCCAAGTCGCACTGGCTCAACCACACCACTCAGTTTGCGAAATAAAATCGTTGTGCCAACTGAATACCAAGACACAGTGCCTGGGGAGTTTGAAGAAAAGGTTAAGCAACCAAAATCAGTCTCTCAGAGTAACACCCAGGACTCTCGTCCACAGACTCCAGTAAGTGAGTACTCCCGCAAAGAGTTAACCCCTAGACCATCCCCGAAGCTTACTAGGGCAAGCTCAAAGGTTTTTGAGAAGGTCCGTGGCTTAGAAGAGCGAAGACGCAGCCTTGATATTCCAGAGGGATCCATCTCTGGTAGATCCTGGGCAGGGTTCAATCATGCTGGATCTGTTGATTCTGATGATGGAGGAAGTCGGCTGGGCATCTCTAGAGAAAGTTCAAGGGAAGATCTTCGGGAGGCTTTGAAAGAGGATGCTGCTGAGCGAAGATCTATGTTTAGACAGAGAGCTGCTTCCCTGGAGGAGAAACCTCGCTACTCCCAAAAAGTTCAGGACATTGAGAACAAGTTCACAGAGGAGCTCCAGCGCATTAAGAAACTTGTTGGAAAACCTCATATGAAGAAATCGTTTTCAACTGAACAGCTCACCCTAAAGGGCAAGCAGCGGCAGCCTTTTAGGAAAATTGAACCTATTCCTCCCCAAGTCCTCCAAAAGCTGCAAGAAAGGGAACGTGTCCAGTGGGCAAAGGAACAGAGAGAAAAGGATTTAAATCTACAACCAGTGCAGCAGCAAGAGCCAACACAGCAAAAGCAACATAAATCACAACCTCAAAAGACAGAGAGCAGCAGAACTGTAACCATCAGTAGATTTGGAGAGGTTGCAGGAACCCCAGAGTCAATGCAGTTATCTGACTTACCTGGACAACGATTGGTGAGAGAACTAAGTAGAGTCAGTCCCGTTACAGAAATCTTTCAAAAATCATCATCACCAGCATTTTATCACCAACAGAGGGCAGAGTCCCCAAGCAGGAATGTTGCTGAGATGACTTTACGCAAGGTTGAACGAAGGCCACCAAGTCCGCTTGTACAAAGGGTGTCTCGAATGCAGGAATCCCCACACTTCCAAGACTCTCTTTTGCAAAAGGATGAAACTTCGGGAAGAAAGACACCAATAGAAGTAGTATTGAGAAAAATCGAAAACAGACCTGAGAGTCCACTGGTACAAAAAAGAGCCATGATTGTGCAAGATCTTCCTCCTCAACCGCCTCCAAAACCTCAAAGAATATCACCTGTCACTCCGACAGAGGAGAAAATGCAAGTGGAGCTGTCAAGTCCAACTTCTAAGATACGAGTCCCAACAATTATTGTTGAAGACGAAAAGATGGAAGTCGATGTTCCTGTAAAGACAAGTGGGTTGCAGCAGATTGCCACCGGTGCCAAAGAGGGACAACAGCAGAAGACGAAAGGAAAAAACCGTCGCCCACGACCCATGTCTCCTGAGTTAGGTTAGATGTGTTGTATTTGTCTCATTAAGCTTTCTGTTGTGGTGTGAGGCTCCAGTCTATTTGTTTTTCATGTTTAATCAACCAGCTACTTCTTATTTGCTAGAGGGGACTTTCCTCTAATTTGATCTTGGGATAAAATGACTTCAGACTTGTCTTTTCTAAACTGTGCAGATTCTTCCGATGATTCGTATGTGTCTGCTGGAGAAGACCCAATGGAGGCCCCGGTATTTGAGTTTCCCCTCCAGGACACTGTAGTGTCTGCTGGTGCAGATGTGCTGCTAAAATGCATCATTGGTGGAACCCCCATTCCTGAAGGTAAACTATTGCTTTTTATGTTTTAACACAAGAAATCTCAAAAGTAATCAATATGTGAAGGGGTTTATTTGTCGCCTGTGTGTTCTTTGTTGAAGTTACCTGGACAAAAGACAACATCAGTGTCAGTGGCATTGCAAACTACACAGTCAAAGTGGAGGGTGAACGACACAGCATGCTCATCAAATCAGCAAAAATGAGTGATGGTGGAAAATACTGTGTAACAGCTGTCAATCAGGAGGGGAGAGCCACCAGTTTTGCCACCCTGACTGTTAAAGCAGGTAAGTTTGATTTTTGAGATATCAGATGTACACAAAACTGTATTTTGGTCAGTCACTCTCAGTTTCAAGCTTGATTTGTTCAATCAGTATTATTATGCAAAGGTAGTTCTATTACCTGGTTAGTAAAAGTGGCCTTGCTAGTTTTTAATTGTGCATTGGATATGATCATTGTAAATAAGAGCGGTTCTGATATAAGAAAAAATGATATGTGCCGTTTTGTCTCTCAGTGTTACCTACACTGAAAACAAGCCAACATCCCTAAGAATAATTTTCAATTTGTGGTATAAAAGGTTTAAAGTCTTATTGTCCATCTTTAAAAAAAACATCTTGTGGTTTCTCTCCACATTGTGTTTCAGAGGATTTCTCTCCTGCTCTCCCCTTGTCATTACCTCTCAGAGCAAAATGTGTGTACCATATATTCCAACTGAACAACCTCACTTATAGTTACCATAGCAACTCAGAGGCGAAAACTGAACCTATAAATTGCCCACTGAGGCTCACTGCCTCCACGCACTGTGAATCCACTATTGTTTGGATATCACATTTGACATCTCACATTGTAATTATATTAAGGGGGGGGGTGCTTTTTTTTTTTCTCCTGTGTTCTCATTGTACGCTCAGCTACATATAATAAAGTTTACAGATGCTAATTGAAAGCTCCAATAAAATGTTCTCACAAACTGACTTTAAATGAAAACGTGGTGTAACGTTGTTGCTTTAATAGAGACTGCACAGGAGCCCAGAGGAAACCTGGGTGTGCCTATGGATATCAGCAGCCCTATTACATCAGACGAGGAGTATCTCAGTCCCCTGGAGGAGGGCATGGATTTTGGAGGGCCAGAGCCAAAGCGACCTATTGACACGCGATTCAGGAAACCCCCTGCATTCCTGGTGAGACTACAGAATACATCTACCTAATTCAAATTACCATGTAGAGTATAACATTTGTCTTTTGACATTGACATTTATTCAATTGCATCTTTGACTGGTTCTTGACTCTATCATTTTTTTCTGTATGAACATGTTATCTGTTGTTTGATGATACCATCAACACATCTGTAATCAAAACTTACAGGTAAATTGCATCTGTCTGCCTCTAACATGCATTACAATTCACACAGGTAACAATGAGTGATCAAGCTGTCATTGAAGGACAGGAGGTCACCATGTCTGTGCGAATAAGTGGACAACCCAAACCCATGCTCTATTGGTAGGTCCCCACACTTCATCACATGATGTCAGCTCATTGCACAAGTGCTCAGTCTTTCCTAGAATCATGAACCAGGGGCAAGCTTGCTTGACTGCATGGTTTGTTCGTGTGCACGCTAGCTTTATCTGTCAACTGATGTTGGAAACTAATGACCATCCCAGCCTAACAATTTATAGGCTGACAGAAACAGTCTTAATAGGCTAAAGGGAAGAATAAAAAAAACGTCCCTGCGCTACGCCTGCCATTGAAAATAATGGGTTTGGGAGTGAAGTGGTGCAGTGGTTCAGTCTGAAAGGGCCTTATTAACAGGGAAGCTTGAAAGCACTGTTTGATGCACCATCACACATCACATGGTTTGACAATAAGCTCAACAACAATTAAAGTATAGAATATTGCTTCTCCTCTTACGCAGCAGGCATCTGTCCATCGCACCTTAGAAATATCGTCAACACCCCCACTAACTCGCCGTGAAACCTCCAGAGAATCTCCTGTTGTTTTCTCACATGGGCTCACATGGGAGTTTTTACTATAGGGCAGGCAGACAAAACTATTATCTGGAGGTGCTGTGAGAATGCAAATTTGAGTTCAGTGCATGTCTGAAAGGAGCCAAGAATAGTCAGGCAGGTTATGCCATGACTAAGAAAGTGATCATAATATTGGTATTCTAAGACAATCTCTCCCACATCCCAACTCAACCCTCTTCATACCTGCCGGAGGACAGCTTGTAGTTGAATGAGTGTGTGCTTATTAATCCTTGATTGCATTCCTTCAATTTAAAAGGCTCTGAGTGCTATATGAGATTTTTGTCTTGTTTTAGAATACAGTGAAAATTGTTATATATAATTTTGTGCCTTTGTAGGCTGAGGGACAGAGTCACAGTAAAGTCCGGCCCACGTCACATTGTGCGTGAGACAAACGACAGCACTTTTGAGATGATAATCAAGTCGGCAGCACGGTCGGACTCTGGCATTTACACCTGTAAGATCATCAATGAATACGGAACAAAGCAGTGTGAAGGAAAGCTAGAGGTAAAAGGTACGTAACCGACACTGCTTTAGTTGTTAAAGAACTTATACACTGATGTCATAACATCATGTGAATAAAATCCATGTGTCCTGTAACTTGCTCACAAAACCACTGCTCTGGTGTCGCTTCACAACACTCAGAGATTGTCCTTTTTTTACCCCCAGCTTCACCAGTTGAGCCAGGCCTTGCGGTCATTCGCCCAGTCCGGGACATCACAGCCAAGGCCGGGGAGACAGTTTTGTTTGAGTGTCTCGTCATTGGACCGAAAGACACCGATGTGGACTGGCTTGCTGATGGGAAACTGATCCAGCCGGCGTTGCTCAACTGCAAGATGTACTTTGATGGAAGAAAGTGTCGGCTGCTGCTCAACTCGGTACATGAGGACGACAGCGGGACGTACACGTGCAAGCTCAGCACAGCCAAAGGTCTGTCTCCAGAAAAAATATTGCAACTTTTTTGAGAAATTAAAAGCAGTTTATGTATCTTCCTTTCCACTTCTTCTTACATATTCTTCGTACTATTTCATCTGTGCTCTTCAGAGGAAGTGACCTCATGTGCCAAACTCAAAGTCATCCCTTCCTTTGAACCTCTCTTCACTCGCAAACTGGACGTTCTGGAAGTGATTGAGGGGCGTAATGCTCGATTCGACTGCAAAGTCAGTGGGACGCCATCTCCCAAGGTCACATGGACTCACTTTGGTAGGATGGTAATTTATGGTGTCATCATGAAACGTAAAATTTTTGACCAATCGCTCATCGTGCTACATCACCTGTTGGAACTGCTTTTAGGATTTAGAAACAGAAACTGTAGTGTCCATTCCTTTGTTTTCTTGACCTTCCTCTGTCCATTTCTCAGCCTCCAATTAAAATGAAACTGAATACAGGTTCCTTTTTCTCTTTTAGACCATCCGCTCATAGAAAGTGAGGACATACGTATTCTTCAGGAGGGCGGTCGCCACTCTCTCATCATCTCTCATGTGACCAATGACGATGAGGGTTTCTACACCGTCATTGCCTGTAACAGTTGTGGAGAGGCAGAGAGCTCCGCTGAACTTTACATACAAGAACCACGGCCTGCCATCTCGTCTCAAATGTAAGAGAAAGTTATTCCTCAGGAGTTGGGTCTCAGCGTGTGTGACCTGGATTCCAAGTCCACTAAAGCTTGCAATTTGTTTCATTTTAACTTTGTCTATCTCAGGGCAAAACTCGAGAAGATGCCGTCCATCCCAGAGGAGCCAGAGGTCCCAGAGAATGAGGTGGAGCGTTTCACTATGCCTGACTTCATCAAGCCCCTGTATGATCTGGATGTGATCGAGGGGAAGGAGGCTGTGCTTAAATGCAAAGTGGCCGGTTTGCCATACCCCACCATCATCTGGTTCCACAACGGCAAAAGGATTGAGAGCACAGAGGACAGAAAGATGACACAGTGTAAGTGTTCCAAATTAGATAAACATTCACCCAATGTTTCTGTGTATCAGCCTTCTCAACCATTTCTCACATAGGTCACTTATAACCGTCAAGGACACAAGAAATCCAGAGGAAAATGTACCAAGGGTAGTTTTAAGCACTTGAATAGATCTGTTATGTATTTATCTTTCTGGTGACAGTCTTGTTGGATGCAGGATGCTAAAGGAGGATGCTAATAGACAATTATGCCTGACATCTTTTCATCATTCCTCCTCTGCTTCCCGCTGTAGTTCGTGACGTCCACAGCTTGGTCATCCGCTCTGTGTACCACGCCCACGGCGGCGTCTACAAGAGTGTCATCTCTAACAAAGTGGGCAAGGCCACCTGCTATGCTCATCTCTATGTTACAGGTAATTTATTTTACTTCCGCTGAGGAAGTTATGTTTTTACCCTCATTTCTTTTAGAAAGTTTATGCAAAAATTACTAAACTGATTTGCACAAAACTTGGTGGCGGTATACAAGTCACAGAAGAACCCATTCAAGTGTAACCTCACCCCTAAGTTTTGAAATATTAAATTGCAAAGCTGAGACTTGACAACCTACCAGTCAGTGGCTCAATTGGTGTGAGAGAGAGAGACAGCAAAGGGCAGGAGAGGAAGGGCTATATGATTAGTGATTTATTTTCTCTGAGGTCTGGTGTATGTTGTTAATTACATGAGATGTGTGTACTTATTTGTACATTAAATTAAAAAAATGTTATTGATTACATAATTGTGGTCAATAATACATTCATTAAACAATGCATTCTGTAACTTGGGAAAAGGCAGTTGAGAAATATTTATAAACGACTTATTCCATTGTTGTCATTTTCAGATATCCTCCCTGACCCTCCTGATGGGACTCCAGTGATAGAATCCATCACTGGGAAAACCATCAGCTTAAGCTGGAAGAAACCAAGGAGGCTGGATCCATCGATTGGTATTTATTCACAAAATATATTTCTTTACTTTATATTGGCTAAATCTAGGTTTTTACGACAGACTAAAATGACAATGACATACTGATGTAAATTAAAAAATACATATAATACACACAGTCTAGTGTAACATATGACAGTTTAACTCTTATAATATGACTTAAAATCAGCTCTCTAGTTACATTCAAGCTTATTTGGAGCTAAGCTAATAAAATTATTATAATTTGGAAGATAGAAGAATTTAATTCTCACATTGTGGTCTAGAAGCCTGTAATTATATTATAAACTGCATGTGTGTCTTTTAGATCCCAGTGCCCTGATGTACGCCATTCAACAACAACCCCTGGGCTCCATCCAGTGGACCATCATAGCCTCTGGCCTGAAGGAGACCGTCTACACCATCACCACCCTCTCCAAAGGAGTCCGCTATGCTTTCAGGGTCCTGACCATCACCTCCAAGGCTTTCAGCAAACCCTCCCCCACCACCGACCCTGTGCAGCTCCTGGACCGAGGTACATTCATGCAGCTTTTAGAACATCAACTTATCCATTACTGTGCCACCACTGTGCAGAACAGTTCTTTTTTATATGTTGAATGTGTGCACTTTGATTTTCATTTAGGTCCCTATCTTCTGGAGGCTCCAGTCATCATTGATAAGCCAGACGTTGTGTATGTGATGGAAAACCAGTCAGTCACCATCACTGTTACCCTAAATCATGTCAATGCTGCTGTCATCTGGAAGAGGTATTTGTTTCTCCGTTGTCAACTTACTGTACTGTATCAAACATGTAAAACAAAACTTGTATGAATACACGTTTTCCTGTTGGGCTATTTCCAGCGTATACTGTATATTTGTCATTGTTTTTATTTCTAATATCACAACAAAAATCTTTAATAGTCTACAACTGTTATTCTCTAATAAAACCACAGTTTTATATGTCGCTATGACTTCTATTTATTTAGTGTGCTATTGGGAGGAAAAGCTGCCACCTTGTGGACCCTGTGTGTTATAGGATGGTCGGTACACAAGTACCCTATGACAAATGACATTCCAGAGCAGTGAATAAAAAGTCTATTATTGTGTCCTGACTTGTGCGAAAGCAGGAGCCAAACATCCACCACACCTGTGCAGGGACAGCCTGCTGCTCTCCTCTAGTTATCACATGATAATCCTGGTTTATAAACTGTTCTTCAGAAGGGGAGTGGTCCTGGCCAGCAAGCCCGGCCTGTACGAGATGGCAATGCCAGATGACGACCAGCACACGCTGAAGCTGTTCAAAGTAAAAAGCGCTGACGTGGGAGAGATGGCGTTTGTGACCTCCAACAAGTATGGCAGTGACAGCTGCATCTTCAGCATAGAGCTGGCAGGTAGGCTGTCTGTCTGTCTGTCCATTCATCTGATCTAAACGTCATGTAACGTGGTGTTGTGTCCTTGGATCTCTATCCACAGCTCCACCAACTTTTGAGACAATCATGGAGGACCTGGATGTTTGTTCTGGAGAGACCCCTCGCTTTGCTGTGGTTGTGGAGGGCAAACCAGTTCCAGACATCCTCTGGTTTAAGGTGTGTTGTGTATTTTGGGCCTGCACGATCTCCATAGGAGGATCAGGAAAGGGGTTATGGGAAATCTTCCAGCTACATTGTTAAATTGTTGCTTTGATGCCACGAGACTATGCTGCAGTTGCAGAAAAAAGAATTAACCTGACATCATAGAAGATTATGTCAAATCCTTGAAGAACTATTGTTGAAACCTTTATTATTTCTTCTCAGAATGACATCCTGCTGTGCGAGAGCAGTCATTACACCTTTGTGTATGATGATAATGAATGTTCCTTGGTGGTTCTGAATGCTCATATAGAAGACTCCGGGGTGTACACGTGCACTGCCAGGAACTTGGCAGGATCTGTGTCTTGTAAAGCTGAACTCACCATTCATGAAGGTAAGAGGTCAATCTATGAGAGCCATAATTAGGCTTACAAGCCTTTGACTGTAGGAATGATATGTTGTAGACAATGTAATTATCTGGAGGTGGCTGTACAGTTTATTTGATGTAATCATTGCTTTCCCATCACTGTAGCTAAAAGAAAAGAGGATCCAGTGGATGATGAGCAGACTATTTTGAGGAAAATGCGCAGGCTGACAGACTATTATGACATCCATAAGGAAATTAGAAGGTAAACTATTTGAAGCACTGTCTTCCCAGGAAACAGTTTTATCTAATTAAATGTCTTCATGCCCTAATCCTGCTGTTTAATACATATAGACTAGATTGTAATAATTATATCCTCTTTTTTCCAGGGGGGCATTTTCCTATGTGAAACGTGTGACCCAGAAAGTAGGCAAAATGGAGTATGCAGCGAAGTTTATCTCCACAAGAGCCAAAAAGAAGCCATCTGCTCTGAGAGAGATGAACCTGGTGTCCAAACTGGACCACGAGAGAGTCCTTTACTTTCATGACACCTTTGAGAAAAAGAACGCAGTCATCATCATCACTGAAATGTATCCTTCTCATATTATTACTGTTTCTTATGCACGGCAACAATTAATGAGAGAGATAAAGCATATCTCAGTTTTTACTGTAGCCATCTGCATTTGGTTGCACTGAAATGCTTAATGAATTCTATCTTGTTAAAATGTCAATAAAAATGCATACATGCACATATATTATAACATATTACAAACAATCACTGCATAATGTACACAGCCCCAGAAATAAGAGCCTTAATTAGTCTTTAAAGATGCCATGAAGAGCTGCTTGACCGGTTTACAAAGAAATCTATTGTCATGGAGTCTGATGTAAGTTCCGCTCTGACTTCTCAGAAAAAATGCAGTTAATATCAATATAATGATGAGATGTAAATAATTAATGTAATTTAATAACAAATAATTGTGTTTTTTGCAACCATCAGGTACGGTCCTGTGTAAGACAGGTGCTTGAGGGGTTGGACTACCTTCATCATCTAAACATCATACATCTGGACATAAAGGTAGATACTTGTGCAGCTCCACTCTCCCACTCTTTCAACATCTAGTTTTGGATATTAAAAGTTTATATTCATTTTGTCAAAGAAATATGTTTTAATATTTCGAGAATGATCACACATTAGGTACTGTGATTGCAGGACATGATATGATATTGTTTTCTTATTTTCTTATTATTTCCTCAGCCCGATAACATCCTCATGGCAGACCCTCATAGTGATCAGATCAGAATCTGTGACTTTGGCAACGCAGTGGAAATCACCCCTGATGAGGCCCAATACTGCAAATATGGCACACCTGAATTTGTTGCACCAGAAATAGTCAATCAGACCCCTGTGTCCAAAGCAACAGACATCTGGTACTGTGTCTTTATAATTCACAACAAACTTTTTGTTTGGTCTGTTCTAAAACAGCTCATTTACCAAATTCTTCTTTGTCTTCATCTAGGCCTGTTGGAGTTATCACATATCTGTGGTGAGTAAACTTTTGTTTGTTTCTGTCATTATTAAATGTATACCTATTTTAGTTTTGGATAAGTTTACCTGTGGGTACTTGTCAGTAAATGTAAGTATTTGCTTCTGTTGTAAGTCTGACAGGAGTTTCTCCATTTGCTGGTGAGAACGACCGCAGCTCTGTGCTGAACATCAGGAACTATAACGTGGCCTTTGAAGAGAGCATGTTTGCTGACCTTTGCCGGGAGGCTAAAGGGTTCATCATTAAACTGCTGGTAGCCGACAGGCTGTGAGTAGATTTGTTTTATGTATAACTATTTAGCAAAAATCTTGCTACAAGAAATTAAGGAACTGATTCATACTGACATATGACATAATCACTATCAGCAAACATAAACAACTAAATGTTCAAAATTGTAGAATTTTAGATTTTCATGTAATGTTTTTATTCAGTATTTCCATCTTATATTTTTTTATTTTATATATAGCCTGGCTAAGTTTTTATATAATTTGTCTATTTTCAAGAGCTGTTTAAAACCCAGGTTAGTCACAACTTTCAGGACAATTTTTTTCTGTCTGCCAATTTGTGGCTATGAGTTGTTGCAACTTATATATATCTGCTATATCTGCAAATCTCACAGTGCTTTTCATTGAAGATAGCTAATGGATCAAATGTACAAAAACCTGCAAGACTGAAATAATCCGTTGTTTTCCTTTAGGAGACCTGATACTCAGGAATGTCTGCGACATCCCTGGTTCAAGGTAAAACAAGGCCAGTGGCACAAGCCACACTGTTTTTTATTTATCTTTCTTCAGTAATTTTCTAGACACTTCCCATTCATACTTTTTTTTTATTCAATGGAATGTATATGTGTATTTATTGTACAGACACTTAATAAGGGGAAGGCCATAAGCACAGAGGCCCTGAAGAAGTTTGTATCACGCAGGAAATGGCAGGTGAGTGATATTTTATTTCCTATTTGTCATTACACTCAGAATACCTACAAATATTTCAATCCTCACAATTTTTTTAATTTTGTTACTTCATCATATCCCATTTTTTACAGCGTTCATTAATCAGCTATAAATCAAAAATGGTTATGAGGTCCATACCTGAATTACTTGATGATTCCTCGAGCCATATCTCCATCGCAGTCCCCAGGCACCTTAAAGAGGGTTCACCTTTGCCATCATCATCCTCAGATTCTGATGAAGACATTGATGAACTGCCATTTATTCCAATGCCACTTACCATGGAATTCTCTGGATCAAGGATGTCACTGAATGATATCCAGACTAATGAGCAGGAAACAGGGAAGCAGAATGGAACAAGTAAATGGTCTGGGCCCCCTGTTCAAGCACAGGAGGCAATGGAATGTGACAAGAAAGAAATGGATAAAGAAGGAGTTGAAATCACAGGTAAAGGCCGCCAGCGGAAGAGGTCATCACAAGACAATGACAGGTGTTCCTCAGATGAGGAACCACCTGCTGAACTGCCACAAAAGTCGGAGCTGTCTAGAAAACCACTGCGAAGGGGTTCAAGTATGGAGTCAGACAAACCAGAAAGTGGACGACGAAGGGGAGAACTTAGACGTGGGGGCTCCGCTGACAGTGCATTGCTGCTTCGGATTCCACCTGAGGAAGGAGCTGTAGAGGGAAACCAGGATGATGGCAGGATAGTTCTGAAGAAAGCTGTCTCTATGGAACTACCAAGGAGAAGCACCAGCCCAGGAACAGTGAAGATGAGTCAAGAAGACTATGCACTTAAACTTGAGCTAATGAGGCAGCGACTGCTTCGTGGAGGGTCAGTAGACAATAAAATGAGTGGACTGAGAGGACCACTGCTGGAAACATTAGGAATGGGAGATGAGAAACGTGCAATATCCTCTGATCGCTACTCTCGCACTGCTCGTTTAGGCCCACCACCACTAATCAGAGCTTCATCCAGTGATTTACCAAAGGATGAACTTCCAAAACCTAAAGTTCTGCGCAAAAGTGCATCTTTCAGTCAAGGTGATTCAGAGCCTATAGCTCTACACCGCCGGTCTGGAGCTCCTCTGGAGATTCCCTTAGCTCAGATTGAAGAAAGAAGGCTAAAGGAAGCTATATCTATGTCAGCTTTGACTGAGCAAATAAAGCTAGACTCACGCCCAGTGACTCCCAGGGAGCCTTCACCCAGACCACCAACTCCAGAGTCTTTTGTGCAGGAGAGTCCTACCAAGACAGGAAGTGAGGAATCATTAATGGATAAAGAGATGAAGTCCGATGAGACTATAAATGAAAAGATGGATGGGTCAATGACAGATGGTAATTTTGATGAGAGGTCGAGCACAAGTGGTTTCTCAGAGAAGGACATGAGCATATCAGAAGAGCCAATGGTTGAATCAGAGTACATGGGCCCGAGAATTCCTACACCTCCTCTTGTGGCCCAAAGCTCTAAACTAGAGGAGAGAATGGAAGAAGAAGAAGAAGAAAAAGAAGTAGGAAAGGAGCATGAAGAAAAAGAAGTGACTATGAAAGATGAAGAGGAAAGAATTGTCAATATGTCTGAAACAAATACAGAAAATGTAGAAGTTAGTGCAGAAAATGTAGAAGAGGAAGTAAATATGCCTTCTAAATCTTCTGAGATGACCATAACGACAAGCTCATTTATGGTGAGACCAACACAAGAATATTCCCATCCCATCGTATCAACTCATGTAACACCCTCGCTTCCTTCTCGAGTTGTTCTTCCAGATGGAAGGACTTCAGCATATGCCAGTATTATGCAGACAATTATGGTCCCTTCAGTTCAGCCTCTCAATGACCCTACATTAGGCCCCTCTACACCAGATGTTCCAGCCCTATCATCATCTGCAGTATCACCTGAAACATTTTCACCCACATCATCACCTGCTAGCATTCCCACTGCTTCAACAGGTGTGCCAAAGCCAGCAATTTTGTCAACCACTGAGCACCCTGCTGTTTACTCCAGGGTAGCTTCACCAGAAACGATCATAAAAGAACCCAGTCCGCCAAAGACTACCACACATTCCTCATCCCAACAAGAACTTTCAACAGGAGTGGACTTTGAGGACATTACCTCTGAAGAAGTATTTGAGGCGCGCTTCAAAAAGCGTGAGTCCTCTCTCTCAAGAAGTCTAAAATTTTTGTCGCGTTCTAAGAATGATGACAAATCCCAAGCAATTTCCTCTGACTCCACAGAGTCAGGTGAGGAGATCTACAGACCTGGGCCAATTGGAGCTCCATTGGAAGTAGCACCAAGGAGACTTGAAGAGAAGTCAAAGTCAGTCCAGGACCTTCGTGAAGCTCAGAAGGATCAAGGCTTTATGAGGAGGCTCTCTTTGCGTCTGAAGCGAACTCCTTCAACTGAGCGCAAGGAAGAAATGACCAAAGAAGATGAGTCCGTTTCTTCAAGAAGGAGGCTGTCTTGGACTCTTGGTCGACGAGGATCACAGGAAAGGAAAGAAGTGGAAATGACGCGCATGGATGGTGGTGGTGACACCACAGTGGAACAAGATGAAAAGGAGCTTAAGAAACCTAATGAATCACCAGTCCTGGCAATGCGAAGGAAGATTGAATCTACGGTGGCTGGGATATCTACTAGAATCCGTAGCTACTCAGAGGAAAGGAGATCATCAGAGGAAAAGGAACAAAAGAGGACACCCATTCTGTCCATGCTTCGTCGTTCAACATCAGAGAGCCGTGCCATGAAGGTTCCTAGTGTTCCTCAGAACCAGCTGGTGTCTCAGGCCAGTAATGGCACCTCATCAGAGTCTCTCGACTCCATGTCCAGCTTAAAGTCAGATGTACTAAAAGGTATGAGGCAATAACTGTACTAGAGATTTTGTTTCACAAATGAGTAGATGACTAGTGATAATTAATTAAACTTTTTTTCGTTTTTTCAAAGGTGTGGAGGTCGAGCGCAGATCCCGCTGGGATAGATGGGGCCTGACCAGAGGGAGGCGAGACAAGACAGTATCACAGCCTGACATACCAACAGCAATCTCCAGAGAAAATAGTTCCTTGCGTTCTCGCCAGTACTCAAAACTGGCTTCTGGTTAGTCAGGGCTAGAGCTACCAGCCAGTTAGCTTAGCTCTGTTTAGTAGAAAGATTGTGATCGGGGCCAAACAGCTAACATGGCTTTTGTTGCTCTTTTTGCCATCATGCATTTACCATGTATCCAACAGAGACTTAAGAAATTGACTAGTTGGCTTTAGAAATGCTAAATGGGTCACTTTTCCCCAAGTTAATATTCTTAATGCTAACCAGCTTGGCTATAACCACACACATTATTTTGTGTAATTTTTGTCACAACAGTGTTTCACTAAAATAGTGATATCTTAAAAGTTAAACTGTTGCTATGAGATAAAAATATATTAAAATATTATATGCTACACGATCAACCAAAACTTGACATGTATGGTTACAAGATCACAGTGAGCCCTATAGCATAAATTGCTTGGTAAATCTACATTTGACACCTTTATCAGGACTTCTGAAACATGTACCAATTACATAACAATATATTCCAAGTCAGAACTAATATGGCTGTACTTTAATTGGTCTAATATCTTTGGCTACCAGATTTCCCTCCAGTATTCCACATCAAGCTGAGAGATCATGTCCTGCTGGAGGGGGACCCAGTCACACTCAGCTGTCTGCCAGCAGGCAGCCCCCACCCACAAATCACCTGGATGAAAGGTAGAGATCTCTGTAAATAGGACAATACCACATTAATATTGTTCTCACGAGTGAATGGTAAGAATCACATCGCTTGCTAATTACAATAATTTACAGAATAATCTTGGGTCTATGAGTGCAGACACATAATTATGGCCTATGTTGCCTCTCAACACATACTCAAAATGGTACCATGACAACAGAGGTTGAGTACTGTGCAAATAGATACTGCCAGAGATAAAATCTGTCAAAGACTTAATTTAAACTTCATCAATATTCAAAATAGACAATTCCCATACATGTGTGTTTCCTCAGATAAGAAGCCTCTGGAGATTGATGCCAGGATGAACATGATTGCCTGCCCTGATGGCCGGCAGCTACTGATGATCATGCACACAACCAAAAAGGATGCAGGGGTTTATGAGTGTGTGGCTACAAATCCCCTCGCCTCTATGACCAGCTCTTGCACGATATCCCTTGCTCGTAAGAACTGAGACATACCTCACTTTTTTGTCAGTCTGTAAATTGTAAACATTCACTGTATTAGTAGTAAATAATAGTACCATATATAAATCACAAATAGACAACACAGATCCTGGGAAGGCTGACAACTAAGAGTTCATGAATTGATGATATGTTGTACCAGGTGTGATACTGATTAAATACACTAGTATTAAATACTGTAGTTTTGTTAATACCTCTGTATTTGTTTTAACAGGCCTGCCTAATCGTCCTGGGACCCCTGAGATTCCTCAGAAGTACAACAACACAGCCTTAGTACTGTGGAGGCCCTCTGACACCATGGCCCCCTGCACATACTCTCTGGAGAGGAAAACAGAGGGTCAGTCTTTTTAGATGTCTCTCGTCAGATGTTGCATTTTTAGGATTATTTAAAAAAAAAATTTAACAATGAGGTCTTGACCATAATATTTGGTTTGTACCTTAAAGCTACAGGAAAAGGTTGCAGCACTGTATTTATGTATGTATTTCAGTGTGCAGTACTCCTACACCTATCAAACAAGCTATTAAAAACACAACTTTTATGAAAATGAAATCAACAAGATTTAATCAAAAGACTTTGATGTTGCTATGGCAACATCTGGCTCATGACATTCAGTAATGAAGATGAAAATTAATTTTATGAACTATATGAATTATGTGAACTGTTTTTAAGGCAATAATGAAACCAACATGCATGTGAAGTGTGTGTAGCGTACATTTTCATGTTAACTGTCGTTCTCAATCAAAGTTATCTAATGTTAATTATATTTCTAGGAGTTGATTGCAAAGTCACCAACATTATCAGCTATATACTGAAACTATCAGTGTGGAGGTTTTTTTATTAGTGCCAACCAAAATGAGCCAAAAATTTAAACTAATTTCTGACATCATCTGACAAAATTCAAATGTCTCTGGAAGTAGTATGGATATCATGATCTTGTGTTACTCCCCAGGTGACATCAACTGGCTGATTGTGGCAACAGGCGTGGCCGACTGTTACTACAATGTGGTTGACCTGCCGGCTGGGTCCTCCTACAGGTTCAGGGTGGCATGTGTCAACAAAGCTGGCCAGGGCCCCTACAGCAACCTCTCTGAAGAAGTGGGCCTGGATGCTTCAGGTATGCCTTATCTCACTGAACATTTTTTAAATGCCAATCCCCCAACCTCAGGGCCCCCTATTGCCTGCTTTGCCTTCCCTGTTGCAACACCCCAGTGCACAAGTGATGAAGCAAATAGTGAATCTGTACGATAACAAAACACAGTATAAAATTTGATTCATCATTCCCAAACAATCCAATGTATGAGGGTGAGATATCTTACACACGTAGAGCCATGCTTTGAATACACCAGAATCTGCATATATGATCCAGTCTCTTCCTTTGTGTGTCCCTCAGAAGAACCAGCTAAATCCAGTGCTGCTGTGGTGGTCAAGACTGTCCCTGCGACTCCTCCTCCTCCCCCTGTGGTGGTGATGTCATCCATGAAAGTGCCTCCCATTAAACCAGCTCCTAGTAAATCCACTACAGTAACACTTGCCCAACCTGCCCCTCCCTCTACTATAGCCCCGACAACATCTGTGGCTAAATCTGCTTCTCCGATAACCATCAAACCTGCTCTTCAGGTTGATGCCAGCCGTCCTGCTGTCATTCCTTCCATTAGTGTAGTCCCCTCTGAGCAAGCTGTGGTTCAGACCACCACAAGTGTTCAAGCCACGCCAGCAAAAGCTAAGACCACCCTTAGCATCAGTGTGGGCAAACCCCAAAGCAAGTTAACGCCCCCGCCTGTTGTTCCGCCCAAACCCAGAAGTCCTGTAAATGCAACTCCTGGAAAAAACAATAAATCCCCATCTCCTGTACCAGCCCCTGCACCTGTCATTGGGAAACCCATTTCATCCTTGCCAATGTACGTGCCAGCTGCAACTGCACGTGCTACCCCACCTTCTCAATCCAGTTTAACACTGACAACCACCACCACCTCCATCACTCCTGTGATTGTTACTCCTGTGACTGTTACTCCTGTGACTGTCACCCCTGTGACTGTCAACCCTGTGACTGTCAACCCTGTGACTGTCACTCCTGTGACTGTCTCGCCGGCTGTGGTGGTGGTGCAGAGCTTGACGCCTGTGTTGCAGGGAGGGGACAGTTGGAGTGCCCCGTCTGGGCGGGTCACCCCGTCTGGGCGGGTCACCCCAACGGGACGGGTTACACCCTCGGGACGCAGGACACCACTGGGAAAGCCTGGTGAGGGATCTCTGCGCCAGGGAGTTCCACAGAAACCTTACACCTTCATGGATGAGAAAGCAAGGTAATGATTGCTGACTAATGCAAAAATGTGAAAAAAGTGCTTGGCAACTACATAGCCTGAAAATAAGATCACAGTATGGCATTAGACATTTAAAGTATAACTATATTATATTATATTATAAATAAATAAAAATGTTAATAATAGTTTGTTCTGCTAAGATCCCTGATTCAGGAAGAAATTATGTTTGCGTGATTTATTTATTTCCTTAAACAAAACAAAAATGACCAGCATCAGATTTGGGATTAGTGGATTTACATCAATTTAGCCTTTGCTGCTCTTTTTGCCAGCTGACTTTATAGCCTTTCCCTCTCACATAGGGGTCGTTTTGGTGTGATCCGCGAGTGCCGGGAGAACGCCACCGGCAACCTCTTCATGGCCAAGATCGTTTCATATGAGGCAGACAGCAAGCAGATGGTGCTGCAGGAATATGACATCCTCAAGTCCCTTCATCATGAGAGGATTATGGCTCTGCATGAAGCTTACGTCACACCACGCTACCTGGTGCTTATCTCTGAGTACTGCAGTGGAAAGGAACTGCTCCACAGTGTCATAGACAGGTGAAGCCAAACTGGAAGCTGTATTTGCAGAATTAATTAGTTGCTTATTTGATTTGATTAAGCAGAAACATAATATCAGTATTGGCTTAAAATATCCCTTCTGCACTCATTTACCAAGCTGTTTTCTCTTAGGTTCCGTTACTCTGAGGATGACGTGGTGACCTATGTCGTGCAGATCCTCCAGGGTCTGGACTACCTCCATACCCGACGCATCCTCCACCTTGATATCAAGCCAGATAACATCATCGTCACCTACATGAATGTCATTAAGATCATAGACTTTGGCAGTGCTCAGACATACAACCCTCTCTTCCTTAAGCAGTTCAGCCCTCCTATTGGAACACTGGAGTACATGTGTAAGTCCTGCTTTTCTCAGACCTCTGGGAATCAGTGAAATTCGTGCTACGTCCACACTAATAAGTTTTAATTTTAAAACTCAATCAATTTTGCTAAATACACGTCTGGCGTCCACACTATTCCAGGGTTTTTTAACCCCTAAAGGCTTTTGGAAATGCTGCTGGCCATGTTTTAGTTTGTAAAGTCTGTTTTTGTGTTTTAGTCTGAATTGGTAGAAACCATTGGAAACTATGACTCAGTCACTCAAGTTCACTTCCTGATTGGGTCTCATCATTATGACTCAACTACCAGTGCTGGTGCAAAATATTGTGCCAACACTTACATTGAGTATTAGTCCAGGCAGGTCTCGAAGTGAAGCCACGATCCACTGTGTCAGCTGAAAGCAACAGATCTTCATGCCAGTCCACATCAGCTGATGGCTCAGCTGAACCCATCCTTTGTATTCAATAGGCAAAGCTCATACTGCACACTCTACTTAAGCTGCTTTAACTGAAATCCACCCACCTCCACCCCAACACCTCCTTTTCTTATTGAATCTGACCATATCAATGTTATTTGTTGTCATTTATGCCTGTTCTGCTCTGTGCTGTGTAGGTGCTGCTCTCCCTCCCACACTTTTCATGAAGGCTCATGCAAGGGCAGGGAGGCTATAGAACAGAGCTAAATTGCAATTATTCAAATCAAATACATTTTAATGAAGTTGACCTGACTGAATTACTTTAAGAACAGTTCCACTGTAATAGTTGTAACTCATTGTCAGTCCAAGCAAAAATTTCCCCTGGTCTTACTTTTCACCATTGCTGTTTGCCTTTCACAGTATTTTCAAGAAATGAATTGCAAATAGACAATCTGCTTCCTGTTTACACTCCATTAGTAAGGTGTTTACAAGAAACCACTGAATATAATATATATAATATATACTAATATGTAAAATCTCTCTATATATAAACACACACATATGTATGTATGTATGTATGTATATATTGTATATATATATATATATATATATACATGCATACATATATGCATACATATATGCATACATATATTCGTATATATATGTTATCGATGAAAAGAGTATGAAGGGAAAGCCTTGCTGGTCTTGATCTTTTGTTAATATCTATTTATACTGATCTTGTTATTTCTGTTCTTGAGGAGGTTTATGAAACTATCAGTGGGTGTACACAAGCTATGAAAACAGAGGAGGATTATCTAATAAAGCTGCTGCACAAACACAAAGACGATATCAGAAATTATAAACTGTAGTTAGTGTTCTACATGCATTTTCTTCCTTTCTTCTCCTTGCAGCTCCTGAGATGTTGAAAGGGGATGTGGTGGGTCCTCCAGCTGATATCTGGAGTGTGGGTGTACTGACCTTCCTCATGTGAGTCTCGCTTTCATAGCTTCAACTTAGCAGCTCCTCTTTAAATAGAAGTGTTACTTCAGGTGAAATGTGCCAGCTGCATTTGCATTGATATCTGGTTTCTTCATTCATAACTAAAACAATGAACCAGCGGAGGCTTTAAGTTTGGGTATCGTTTGGGTTTTGGTTTTCCAATACAGGTGCTGAATTGACACTTTTAAATGGTATTGGTGTCTTAACTGTGCCAGCGATGCTTTTTTTCTTCAAAAACCATTGTGCATGCCTCTGTGTCTTTAAATTGCATCCCGTGCACTGGCAGCTTCATTAAGTTTGTTGTGTTCCTCCCTGTACATTGAGTGTTTTCCTCACATTTGCTGCAAGTTACAGTGTCGGAATCCTTTCATCTGAAACACAGCCACACTTTCAAATGTTTAGCTTTAGGTATTTTGTTGTTGTGTCGATTCAAGTTTGAGTTAGCTACGACCTTTACCGAGTTAAAGGTCCAGTGTGTAAGATTTAGGTGAATATGAAATAATCCTAGTGATGTTTCACTGGTGTGTTTCATCTAAATTGTAGGAATCTAAAAACTTTATATTTAAATGGAGGGGGGGTCCTCTCTGTGGAGGCCGCCATGTTTTTTTTTTACTGTCGTCCCAACTGGACAAACTAAAACCATTTTGAGTTTTCATGACAACTGAAATTCACCACAGGTTCTCCTTCATGTTGGGAAGGGGAGGGTGAGATGAGGAGTATTCAGCTGCAACATGCACCTTCACCTCTAGATATCACCAAATTCTACACACTGAACCTTCAAGTGTAACTAGACATGTTCGATAATGTTTATGCTGCCTGTAAGCAGGATAACTGCTTGAGTGCATAACTCAAGCAGTAAAATGAGGCACTAGAATATGTGTTATGATTTGGTCCTATAGGTAGCTACCATGTAGGAAGCGTTGATAATCAGGCACATTTTGAGAGAGCCACACTGTTTTTTTTTGACTTGACAAATTCTCTCCCTGATTATAAAGGTTGAGTGGCAGGTCTCCTTTCATGGAAAATGATCCTCAGGAGACAGAAGCCAGGATCCAGGTGGCAAAGTTCGACCTTTCCAAACTCTACCAGAATGTGTCCCAAAGTGCCTCACTGTTTCTTAAAAAGATCCTCTGTAGCTACCCCTGGTAAGCTCAGTCCTTTCGCTAATTCCCATATTGAACATAATTTCTGAACAGACAGAGATTTGCCTGGATCTTAAATAAAGACATCTGTTAATAGTTATTTTCTCACTGTTTGGTCATCAACAGGGCCCGTCCATCTATTAAGGACTGCTACAATAACTCCTGGCTTCAAGATGCCTACCTGATGCGCCTGCGTAGGCAGACTCTCACATTTACAACCACCCGTCTCAAGGAATTCTTGGCCGACCAGCAGCGCAGGCGAGAGGAGGTGGCCACCAAGCACAAAGTTCTCCTGCGGTCCTACAAGAGCTCGACACAAACCCCCACCAGCCCCACCGCGCCAAACGTGCCAGCCTCACCCACTACACCCGTTACCCAGTGAAAACAGGCTTCCAAACACCAGTGGTTGGGATTGTACAAGGGAGAGGATCCTTAGAGTGAGATGTGATTTTGGGGCATGAGGCGCAACAATCCCTTCAGGTCTGAAAAGTTGAACTTGTTTCAGAAGGAGAGAAAACTCATGAAAACAGCAGTAGCTGTAAGCTACAGAAACACTTGATTATTTTTCTTCTTCAAGAGAAATCTTTTAAAGAGATTCTTAAAGAAAGATTTCATGTCAAAAGAACTCTTACAACGTGACTGCTTTTTATAGTGTGGACCTTGTTCAAACAAGGCAGTATGGTGTCTACAAGTTAGTACCTCAAGGTTTGTAACTTTGCAAACATTTTGGATTTTTTTTCTTTTCTTGTGGTAAACTCCACACTGATTACAGGGGACACATAAATGCATTTGCTAACCCATCATGAAAGGCTGAAAATTGCTGTTACGGAGATTTCATGTCAATGGTTTAATTGAAGTACACAAGGTTGAAAAAAATACTTAGCACAACTCCAAAAAGGACTACTGTACAATGATGCCTTTTCCAGAGTAATACATAAACTCTCTTATAACCATAGTCTCACATTCAGATGCCAGATGTTCCATCGAAGATGTCTAATTCTCTATCCTTAATTTAAGACAACCTAGGATGCCAAATATTTTCCTCCATTAACTGAGGCTGCATCCACACGACTATGTTTTCATTTGAAAGCGCTTTGTCTCTGCCATGGGTATGCCTGGTGTCCACACTACTTTAGAGCTGTGGAAACACTGCTGGCCCAGTTTTAGTTTGAAAACTTTGGAGCTGAATTGTTTCTGGACGAACAGAAACAAAGGTGTTTAGAAATTATGACATAGCACTCACAACCGCTTGATGATTGGGTACATTGACATAGCCTTCGCTGATTTGTCAGGTGCTTATTACATGGCCCCCTCCTGGAAGAGAACAACCAGCATTAACCTTGGCTGCAAGTGTAGAATGCAACATGGATAATCAATTACTAGCATTGCTGACCCAGCTGTCATTGCTAACAGCTGTATCTGCAGTTAAATTCTGCAATGATATAAATGGGTATAGATGAGCTATTATTCAAGCAATCCGCGACTATTCTGCAACAAACAAGCAAATGCTTCCTGTTTACACCTGCATGCGCATGCCCAGTGTACCTGAGTGGTTACTGGTTATATGTTTTAAGGCGCGTTAGTATGGACAGGGATTAAAACTAATACAGAGCAAAATTGCTTGTGTGGACAGGTAGTACAAACGACAAAAACATAGTAGTCCGGATGTAGCCTTAATGTATTACATAATATTAGCAGTGTAATCTGTGCTACCTGAGTTTTTATACTGCCACAACACCTCAGATGATGGTCAAGACTGTAGCAGCACCAGAGAGAACTCAATCTGTTTCATTTAGAGTTTAGAAAACGTATATTCATTTGTGAAGATGCACTGGTGGGTTCTCTACAAGGGCTATTACAAAAGGACTCTTTTTACTCAGCACTAATTTCTTCCCCAATGTTACATTAAGTGACTCCATGCAGTGCTCTGGCTGTGTTGGCGCTGAGCAGACACTAGTTCCTTCACCAAAAATAAGCTAACAAACGCCACATTGGCTTCCAATTTAACAACACTCTTCCACTCAGCCCAGTGTCAAAGATACAGCTTGATCATCCGCTCAGATCAACATTCACAGATTTTGAATGAGGTTTACACATTTGATGATTCACTTTTTACTTTAACTGTAGACAGAGAACTTTGCCTGAGGTCCTCATTAAGTGTTAGATTGTTTGGGGGGTTAGAGGTAAGGTGAATAACTTTTGAACCTACTGGTGATATAAGGGTGTATCTAAGTGCCCTTAAAGAGTGAGAACCTTTACATTTCATTGACAGAGGATGTTGATGAAAACATTGCTGCCCTTGTTCCACAAAAGCTACTGCTTTTTTTGGTTTACATAAATTAGTTTTAAAATGGCACAGCCTTTTAGATATAAAGTAAGGAAGGGATTCAATTATTGATTTATTATTTATTAGAGTAGTATACACCTTTATAGGTCAATTTATAGGCAACATTACTGCCCATGCAGACTGTTCAAAACATTCAATCTGAAATCTGAGACAATCCATACACCTCAAGGAAACATTGTGTTCAATACGCTTTCTCCTGTTCCATGCTCTATATATAAAATATATTGAGGTACCCTATCTACCTCTTCAGAAATAAGTCAAATAACATGGAAAAAAAACATGTCTTTCTTCATCATCAAGTGTGTAAATGAACAGATTCATGCCTCCTGAACTGGTCAATATTAAAACCATTATAAAACCATAATCTGTTTACTAAGTTTACACACCAATTAAACCATTACATGGCACTTTTCTGTGATTATACACTTGCCCCTTGGGTAAATTGAATATGACTCAGTTGCCTACTGCTGTTTAAACTTTATACATTGTTCGTATTAACAACTGATTCTAGATGTTTTACATTATAGTGTGTTTCCAAATGTCACAATTGAGAAAATATCTACCGTAATATCCCCTTTTGTCCTGAGGATGGTTCATTCGGAATATTTTAGTTCTTGAAGTCTATCCTTAAGAATGACACAAGAATTATTTGATTTATCCTCATTCTTTATGGTAAATAAAATGGCAAAGTTGTATAATTTCTGTTGTATTGCTTTGCCTTGTGGGGGCAAATTCAGTTTGCAGACCAACATGTCAGACATTAGCAAACATGTCACATGTCCTGGTTTCAACTACAGATTTGCACGCTTCACACAGAACATGTCAATTCTGTGACAGTAGATAACGTTTTAAAGAAATGAGAAGCAGAACCCAACGCTGAGTCTTTTTGGGTGTAAAACAAATATCAAATCAAGAGTTATTTTGTTATGTGTATTGCCTGAAGGATGTTGCTGGTAAATCTATGAAATTATTTAATTAGCTCTATATATTCTTATGCTATTGCTAGATTAACTGCCTTTTTCTGTCTCTTTGGCTCAGTTGCTTTCCAATGCAGAGTACAGTTAAGTTGTTTTAAACCTGAATGAAAACATGCAAGATCAGCATGACAGTTCAATGTTGCATAAAATCCAGAATTTCTGTGCACAAAATAAGTTCCTTTCTTCGATCATATGAAATGAGACTACAGCGGCTTGTAAGCAGACAACGGGTGTTTTGAAAAAGAAAGTTGTTGAACGCTCCACTTTTTGTATTAAAATCCTATGCCGTATTTTGTGGAATGTGTTGCAGTGCCTCGTGATGGATGTGGAGATAATAGTTTGGTAAATGAATTATTTTTGATTATATGAATGTGACTGCTTCGTGTGTGTTTCACAATTTGTTTATTTATTGAGTGATTGTATTTGTTACAGCTTCTGCTTTTTATTTGGTGAACTTTCTGAATCTGGCATGGCCAAGGCATGACAGCTGTGAAGGCTATTAACAATAAAGGCAATATGACAAATGTATGAATACGATGTAGCCATTTGTATCAAGTGGGTATGAAAGGTGGTAAAACAAAAGCTGTTTGTGCTGAATTTGCTTCAGTTTAATGAAACAAAAGGTATTTGAATGGACTGTAGTCAGCTCAGGCTACACCACTCCCTCTGAATGACCCTGTCCCACAATTATCTGCTTGTTTCCACCAGGGGCGACTCACATTTCAATCCACTCCCATACTTAAACAACCACCAACAAAACTATTAACTGCTTTGAGGATTCTCCAGAGTGTTTGATGTGAATTCTAAATAAGGATTTGAAAATGTGTCATATCCAAAGAAGGTGAAGGAACGTCTGGGTGAGAGTTTATTTGTCATGATCCTTAAAGACCTAAGCCCCTCCAGACCTGCAGATATAAAGCAGGAAGCCATTTATGCTGACTGACTCTGGAGTCGATCAGGAGCAGTGTGCATCTCTAAGGTGGGAAATCTGAGAGTGAGTTGCATTTGAAATTCAATTGTTATGTTTAACTCGTTCTAACAGTATTTCTACAGTGAGACAGTAGATTGGAGGATAAAGAAATGGGTTTCACTGTGTTACTTGAGTGCTAACCAGCTCTGACTGCTGCAGATGTCCACAAAGGCTGCACCCCCTGGATGCACTCTGAACATCGATGATCCTCAGGTCCAGGAGGCTGCAATCCGAATCCAGGCTTCATATCGTGGACACCGGTACTAACATCTCCAAGTTGTTACCTCTGCCAAGGAGGTTGTGTCTGTTTGTTAGTTTGTATGTTTGTTTATGAGCAAGATTACACTCAACACCTCTATGAACTTCCACTTTACTTGGTGGAAGGGTGTGTGGTCTGGATCAGGAAGGAACCCATTCAGTTTTAGTGTGGATTTCGTATTAGAGAGTGGATCCAGGAATTTTTTTTTCACTTTCTTTAGTGAAAGAAACAACATTTTCACTGGGGCCATAAAGAATGGATCTTAATGCAAATAAGTAAGACACATTAAGGAGACTGAGTGTATGTACAGTACTATGAGTGTGTATTTTTAGGCCTACTACTCTACTGGGTGAATTTCTGGAACAAAGTGCCTTTTGAGCTGTTTGAGAGTTGTCTTCTCTTTGAATGTTGCTATTTAGAACAATTTTGCCTTTATACTTGGTCAGATAAACTGGGTAATTTGAAACAAAAGAACCCACATAATAAACATTAAAATTATATTCTTATGTTTCCCACAAAGGTCACGTAAAGAGCTGCGGGAGAAAGGTCCTCCAAAGATCCTGCAGGAGCTCAAAGATGTGGTTCTTGTCGAGGGCAGCGCCGCAAAGCTGGAGTGCAGAGTTAGCGCCTTCCCTGATCCTTTCATCGTCTGGTACAAGGACGGCAAAGAGCTGAAGGATGATCCCAAGTATCGCTACGTGTTTGAAGATCCAGATTTTGTGGCGCTCGTGGTTCGAGATGGGGTTCTGGCTGATCTGGGAAAATACACCGTTACCATTAAGAATCCTTTTGGACAGACGTCGGGATCTGCTTGTATTCTTGTGGAGGGTGTGTACAAACTGCTAACTTTAGCAAGAGTTTGTCATTGCTGTGCTTTGCAGTGGGGCATGAATGTCAGTAAAAGCCAATTTGTCAGAGAGGGTGGGATCAGAAATGAATCAAACAGCTTTCAGGAATAATTCAACATTTTGAGTTTTATTTTCAGACAGAATCAGATGTAAGAGGTATGGATCATCATTCTTGCCATGAAAGTATATGAAAGTATTTCTACCATACTATACTATAACTCTACTGAAACATTTTAACATCTTATTTCCCGGATAATGCATTAATACTTCTGAAACATTCATAGTCGATCAATTGGAAAACACAAACGAAATGGGTTAGAAAACTTGTCAGATGTGATGTTTTCCCTCTATTTTATTCCTAGCAATTACTAGTCATCCTCCTACAAGTACAACTTCTCTAAAGCAATACCCAGTAGTATTTCATATATCATATAACTAATGGAGTTGTTGCATCATGCTCTCTTAGTCCCTGCTAGAGTTTCCAAAGGCCCAGACAACATAAAGGCTAAGAGAGGGACAACAATTGTGCTCAAGGCTGAAATAAGTGGAGAACCACCACCAGATGTGGCCTGGCTTAAAGATGGAGATGACATCGATGAAGACAAAAGGTAGGCAAATTCAACTCATGTATTGTACGAATATATTTTAGCACTCTCTTCTCAGTTCTTGTGCACGTGTGAGAATGCAAATGTCCCAGTCAGATGCTCCAAACATTGTCCTTAACTTTTCAGTCCAGTCCCTAAGAAAATATTAGCGTGTAAAAATAGAGCAAGTAAATGTCTGGGGGAAAGTTGATGATGGTTCTAACACGTGACAAATACAAAACAGAAAACAAAAGAAAAGAATAGAAAATATGTCAGGAAGAAAACGAGGTGTCATACACATGAAGATGCTGACGAAGATGTCAACTTCGAAAGACAATGAAATTTGAGAGTTTAACACACGATTTCTGCAGCGGATTTTATATGTAATGTCCCGCCTCCTGCATCCTCTGGATTGTTCTGTAATTGTTCCTGTTGTGAAAGGCAAACTTTCGAAAATGTGCAGACCCAATTTTACAGACATTTATCTAAGTGGGACTGATGCCAGAAAGAGACACCTATTTTGTAGCTATACATGACAAATTGATTGTGATTGTGTACACAAACAATGGAGTTAATAAATGCTGTGCTTTGGTTGTCTTTCAGGGTTTTCTTTGACGTTGGCGACACAAACACAATCCTGACTATCAAAAATGCGCAGGTGTCTGATGCTGGCAGGTACGAGGTGTTTGTGGAGAACAGTCTAGGCACAGACCAGTCCTTTGCTCGTGTGGACATCCTCCAATGAGGTCTCATCAACTACACCACAATTAATTTGCTCTGACAGTGCTACCCAGTGGATAATATACTGTATGAACATTCTGTTTAAAGCTGTACATAAAATCATGATAAAAATTAAAGGTTTTTTTGCTGACTGATTGTGTTTTAAGTGTTTTTTGATTATCCACTGTGCATTTTGTATTTTGAAAGTGAGTCTTTAATGAAATATTATGAGAATATTTGTTTCAGATAAAAATGGTAAACACTAGTGATGAAACTGACAGTACTTTATCACAAAAACAAATGCAATTAAAAGGTACAAGTGAAAGAATGGTGCTCAAAATGGTATGGAGTTGTTTTCATTAATGTTATCAGTGATTATTTTGTACTTGTCCTAGTGAAGCCTGTATTTCCTGTTTATCACTCTCTCTTGCCTCGTTGCAACCAGTTCAAAGATGTGCAAGTTTGAGTGAAATTTAACTGAGGTGAGAAAACAATAAGCTGAAAACAAGACAATCACATTAACATCTGCCTAACAACATACTTCTCTGAACACCCCTCTTCTTAATGTGGATTAAAAATGATTTGGATGGAGACTGTAGACATTAATCAATCCTCATGTGTACAATCTGAGAGTGTTAGCCACCAGCAGCACCTAGCTGTGATCAGAAGAATTACAGATTTTAGTACAGGTTATAGCCATATCCCAGCTGTGTGTGTATACACAAGTAGAAAGTCACAACAGTTCTCAGTACACATAAGGAGTATATATACACAGCCTACATATGTAAATGAGACTCATTTTTAAAATCAACTATAGCAAGTATACTTCATGTACATACATACATATATATATATATATATATATATATATATATATATTTATTTATCAGTGACACATGTGTTTACCTACTATCTCATGTCAAATGGTGGCTGTATTAAGTACTGTAGCCCATGTTTTTCATTATCTGTCTCCGTAAAAAGATTGAATGAGATTCAATACTAAAAAAACTGTGTTTAAAACACCTGCAGCAGGGGGCAGATTCACGAGGGGATTTTAAAACAATATCGTATACAATATGAAATGTGTTATCTTATAGTAGTAAAAAATGTATTGCAAATGAAATAAAAATATGGTGCCTAATAGAAATAACAACAGAAATGAGAATGAAATAAGCGGTGAGACTAATACTTAACAAAAGTGCCAGTAAGTAATATGTAATATTTAACATGATATTGAAATAAAATGATTATAATAGTAATATATATGTGTGTGTGTGTGTGTGTGTTCCCCTTGAACTTGCAAAATAGATAGATAGATAGATAGATAGATAGATAGATGTACTTTATTGATCCCAATTGGGAAATTGTTGTATCACAACAGCAGGTGTAGGACATTCACAAAGAGTAAAGAAAAAAAAGCTAAATACAAGAGACGACACAAGAGACAAGGTGCAAAATTGCAGTATTTGTTGAAACATGAGCAATAAATATGCCTACACGCAGCAAAAATTATTATGAATATAATATGTGCAAAAGAAATTTAAAAAGTGAACAGTTATTGCAGCAATTGTTTGTTTATTGCGGCTCACATGAACATCCGCCCCTGCTTGCACCCATCAAATAACCGATGAAGCAAACAAACAGAGCCTTGTGTTGGAGCAGATATTTCTCAGTGCACAGTTAGATTCTTACCTTCCTCCCTGTGTGGCCACTTTGAACACTGCACTTCCTGGTTGGTCGGTTTCAAGGCGGCCCCCCCCTTGCTCCGTCACAGTCTGTGAAGTTCAACGAGACGATTGCACTGAATCAAACTCTTTACATTAACGTGACCTCCACGTGTTCGCCGGCCGGGCAGATGTTGAGCACGTGTTTTGCTCTCGCACGCGTCGAATGAACGCTCGAAAGTGACGAAACAAGTTCAGATCGAAGCCCCACAAACATTCCTGCGTCTTTATTTCCTCACAGTCGACACAAGGAAACGAGCTGAAGCTGAAGTTCGAGCGCGAGCCTCACATCCTGTATTGTGACTTTAAGACCGGGGCTTCCTTGAAACCGTCTGGCTCCATGTTAGCGTGAGCAAACTGATCAACTAGTGCACCGTAACTTTAGCTCCTAACTTTAATGAGCAGATGTTTCACCCCTTCATTTAACCGCTGGAGCTGGCTCCTCTCTCGCTCGGTGCGGTTCTTCTCGCTCAGTATGCGAGTTTGCGGACGGGGAGTGGCAGCGGTGACATGTATGTTGTTAGTTTGGCCCTAACTGCTGGGAACTAACTTCAGCTCATTAACTCCAGAACAACGTGGTGCCGTGGGAGCGACGGATCCAATGGACCCTTCTCCGTCCATAATAACGCAAGTGAGCCGGGAGGAGGAGGAGGAGGAGGGAGACGCTCGCGGTGAGGAAGGTGAGTTTGTGTGTGTGGGGGGGGGGAGAAAGAAAAGTTTTCTGGAAGTTTTCAGCTGCGCATGACACTGTGACCGGGACACGGGACACTCAGGGCGGAGAGGGGTCACTGCTGTCAGCTGCTGCTCCAGCAGATCCCCCCCTGCACTGGCCTGGTTCTAGTTATAGACACCCACATATATGCAGAGACCCTCCACCACCAGCAGCCCCGGGTTCTCCTCACCGTTCTGACCGGCTTTCAGTGCAGTGTGCCGGTGTAGGCCCTATGGGCAGCAGCCGTCGTGCATGGACTACAAGCAAGGAAATGTGATTTAAATTAGCATCTGCAGCTAACAGTGATGTAACTTAGTCGTGTTGGGCAAAGTTTGCGTTAAGTAATCTGTCCATTCAATGGGGGCGGGGTCACAGGCACAGACAGCTGACTGTCACTGTTGTTTATGGATTTTGAGCCACTTCCGCTTATTATTTATTTATTAATCAACTTTTAAAAAGTGGCCGCACAGATGATCCCATCATGTCCTGGTGAAGTCTGACATGATGTGTTATTGTTGTAGTGATCAGACGCAGACTCTTCGCATCTGCTTCCAGCTTCCAGTTTGCTGCAGGAGGCCTTGTGTCCATGCACCATGTTAGCAGCCCTGGGTTAATATGAGGCTGCAAGCATGTTCAGGGATGTTCAGGTCAGAGGCCGCTGAGACGGTCCTTCCTAAAGCTTTAGCTTGCTGTTTCTTGAAATAGTAGTTCATGGTGGATTGGATGGTCAGCCTTGTAAAAGATACAATTAGATAAAATACGATTAGATGAGATGACGTAAAATACGATATAACGAAATATGATACAATGAGATAAATGAGATATAATAAGATATAATCAAATAAGTTATGATTATATAACATGATCTTTTATAAGTCCCACACAGTGATGCCGGACGTATGATGATTAACGTATTTGTTAGGTAATTTTTGCATGATGTAGTATAATTTCATCAGTTTGTGACACTTAGTATTATCAGATGTAATCTGGATCGTTAAATATTGATCACTTCTGTTTTTACACATCTCTTCTCATGTGATGTCTTTTCAGCCAATCATGCTTGTGATAATGAACAGGACCGTCTCGTTGTTACACTTGTCTACCGAGCTTAACACAAGTCCTTAGTGTCTCATGTTTCAAAATTAGAGCCTTGTGTCATGAAAATAATTGTTTCTGTACTCTAAATTGATTGGGAATCTTGACACAGCTTCAAAAAGTGGGTATTGATTGCCTTTCCACACTCTGGTTGTGTTCCATCTGGCAACGCTGATCCCACAACAGGGACATTTGCTGTGTTACAGCCACAAAGATGAAAATCCAAATTATACATTAGTAAAGCAATAATAAGTGTAAGACACTCTGGGTGAATCTGCCTTTGCTGAAGGAGCTGCCCAGTGTTGTGATGGTGTCCTGCTGGAGGTGAGACTGGTTGTCCATCTTCCTGCTCTGTCCCACCACCTCCACTGGGTCAGCTGAGCTGGTCCTCCTCATCAGTCTGCCAGTCTCTTCCTGCCCGCTGCTGTGATGCTGCTGTCCCAGCAGACCACTACAAAGAAGATGGCTGATGATCATAAATACGTTGGGGCGGCTGTGGCTGAGGGGGAGAGCGGTCTTCCTCTAACCACACGGTTGGTGGTGCGATCCTGGTCTCCCCCATCTGAATTCCGAATTGTCCTTCGATACTGAAGAATAGATGCACTGTATGAATGGCAAAATTCATATAGATAAAATTAATGATCCACACTCTCACAGTGTCAGGATTTACAGGAGTGACACTAAAACCTTTTTGTTGTCATCATGAAGGGTTGACGATGACATGTCGCTTCCAGTGATGACAGACTCTTCTCATGGTCATCTTTATCATCAGCTTAATTCATTCTCTTAGAAGCAGTGTCACTTGCATCCTAGTGGAAGTGTGGAGCCTGGCTGTGGGAAATGCATGGAGGTTTTTGAGTAGACTGGGTTACATACTGTTGTATAAATGTGATATGATAGCCTGACCAATATTAATGTTTAAAGATGCTACTCTCTCTGTTATTCATCAGATAGATGTTTTTTCACCTGGACTCCTGACAGCTCAGTGACAACACCTCCCACTTCCACATCTGTGCTTTAAAATGAATGCAGGGATTCCAAAGTCTTTGTCTTTTTATTGTAGTTTTATTATTAAAGTGGTAATAGCATTAAAAGGTACCAGTCATTCCACAGCCCCATCATTGTTGAAGCAGCACCACTTTTTGCTTCCTCCCACAGCTATAAGCACAAAGATTAAGCATTAGATATATGCTGTTTATTTGGCTGTGGGTTACTGTTTGGTAATGAGCAGTGGGGGAAATTAGAAAAACCTCCAGTAAGATCTAGCGGTATAGCTGCAGGACTTAGTGATATAATATCTAACAATATTCTAATTCAAATGTCTAAAAACAACTAGACCTATTTTATATATTTTGTTGACATGTGTCACATCATCTGAAATGTTTCTTACAATTATAATCAAGTTAAAGGGAAATTTTATTTTTTAACTCCATCGACCCACTTTACTGTTGCTTTGCTCGTCTCTGCTGTAACTTCTGGGGCAAAGGAAATATAAGATGAAGGAAAAAGAACTGCTAACTAACCAGTCTACTGTTTGTATGGGTCACTCATAATGGTATCACCTTTATTCATTGCCGTTTG